AAAATACACTATATTTCTTCTAAAAAGACCTCTGAGTGCATCCTTTTTCAACTATACTATTTATCAGCATAGGTCTGCACCGGGGCACAGTGACTATTACCTCTTTGAAGCAAGGGTGAGTGCCATTATTATGTTTTATAAAATTGTGGGTGTTTGCTACACCTTTATGCGCACCCCCTCACGGATTATTAACTAAACAGTGAACTATCCCTCATTTGGAATTTTTTGTGGCAGCCATGGAGGACTTTTTGGCTAAAGCAGGAGCTTTAATAGAATCTGCAGAAACTCTTACTATTTCAGATGAACAAGCTAGTGCTATTCTCTGGCCACAAACCTCGGGTGAATTAGCACATACCAATTCTATACAGGATCTTTATAACGATCTTATCAAATTGAAAAAAAGAGAAATAGATTTAGATCTGCATGGGGTCTTTATATCAGACTACCACAGATCCAAAAGGATACCTAGAGGTTTTAGGGTGAGAAATGCACCCACCATAGGACGGCAAAATCCTGATTTTTGTAGGAAGTGGATGCAAATATCCAATAAATGCTCATTAGATTGGATGGTTATCGTAGTGGAAGAAGTTGGCAGAGAACTTATATTCGTCAAACAGTCTATACAGAATATAGAAACAACGAATTCTAACATGTTACAAGCCTCCACTGCAACCGTTCAAATGCTAAAACTACAAGATGAAATAAGTAGATACAAAAATGAACTTATTCGTTTTAAAAAACAGAAATTGGAAAAAGTGAATAATGATTATAAATTCCATCAGGTATACAGATGGTTGGGAGGATCGCAGGATACCCATAGATTTAATGCGAGATTTAGAACCAAAATACGTAAACCATCCTTCCAAACGATCGATGCTAGCTCTGGGGATTCAACGTCTGACCCGGACAGCAGAGGCGATAACAGAGCCCAGGCCGGGGCCAATTTTTTAGAAGAAGGCCCACCACCAAGGGAACCACCAGATATTCCCCGTATCAACACCCGAGGCGCAAAAAGAACCGCCCTATACGACGAGGACAGAATAACTGGAAAAAACATAAATCCGACTGGAAGACCCCCGAGAATACGGAAATGACATCTGTATTTAATCTGTCAGAAAAAATTTTAAATGCTGATCATTATTCCGTTTTGAATAAAGGACTCTCATTTGTCCCAGTGTCCAGACCAGATCCATTTCAAACGGAAATTGAAATTTATAAGACTCAGCGCACACTTTATAGCAACGAACTCAGAAAGGATAATACAACGGAACATGTCCATCCATTCTATAAGAAATCTAATAAGGACATACGTACTTTTAATTCTTCCATTAAAACTTTCATTCAAACTTTGAAAGCAGACACAGAGCAAATATTTAAGAATCCTCCAAAATACCATCAGAACCTTACTAAAGGAGAAAAAATGGCTCTTAAAGATCTTAGTGATGATCCCAACATAGTGATTCACTCTGCTGACAAGGGTGGAGCCACGGTTATACAATCATATCGAGACTATCGTCAAGAAATTCTACGTCAGTTGGATGATATTGCCACATATATAAAACTTACCTATGATCCTGCCAGTAAATTTCAGACAAGGATTAAAAACCATATAGAATTGGGAATCCGCAATGGATATTTAGATGATAAAACAGCACAATACCTATATGTTATAAATCCAAAACATCCAGTGTTATACACACTACCTAAAATCCACAAAGATCCCATGAAACCGCCTGGCAGACCCATTGTGTCAGCCAAAGAGGGCTTACTTGAACCTGTCACGAAATATATTGACTTTCATATTAAAAAAAGTGTAATGGCATTACCCACATGTCTACGTGACACTCAGGATTTTATTCATAAAATCAATTTAATTCCAGACATCGAAGAATCACATCTACTAGTTACTATGGACGTCCAAAGCCTGTACACCGTCATACCTCATAATGACGGTGTCCAGGCTTTGAGAGAGGTCCTTAGTTCCTCCTCATTATATGTGGGACCACCTATAGAGTTCCTTATGGAGTTCTTACTTATTGCTCTTTCTTGCAACTACTTCAAATTTGAAAACAATTTTTTTCTACAAATGTCTGGGACAGCTATGGGTGCAGCCATGGCACCCTCCTATGCTAATGCTTTCATGTTTGTTTTTGAAAATGCATGGATTCTACAGAAATATGGACATCAAATTAAACACTACCATCGCTTTGTCGATGATATTTTTTTGATCTGGATGGGTAATATGGAGGAATTGGACTCCATGCTACAAGAGATCAATCAAGCCTCTACACCAGTGAAGTTAAGTATGACATGTGACACACAATCTATAGAATTCTTGGATGTGACTGTATTTAAAAATCAAGGCAAGTTGGAGTTCACACTATATCGCAAAGAGACAGAGCGAAACACCTTACTATTATCTTCAAGTTTTCATCCTAGGAATTTTAAAGCCTCTTTACCTATATCCCAGTTTCTGAGGGTATACAGGTATAACAGCACCAACGAAAGATGTGAGATACAACTTAAAGAAATGTGGAATAGATTTAGAGCTAGGGGATATCCCTATTGTACTCTTGAACTAGCCTTAAAAAAAGCGAAAGAAATATGGGAATCTGAAATGAAGAATAACAAAAAAGTCAAAACAACGACAACATCGAGGATATTCCTACCCCTAACTTTCCACACAGGGACCTCAAGAATTAGAGACTCCATCTACAAACACTGGGATATGTTACAAACAGACAAACAACTACCCAAATCTTTTCAAAATCGACCGATGCTAAGTTACAAGAGGAATAGAAACCTCAAAGATATCCTTGTAAAAAATGATCCCAGACACTGCTATATTAAAACTCCCAAAATTGTCAAAAAAGGATGTTTCAAATGTGGAGGATGCGTTACTTGTAGTCACATGGTCAGTGGGGCTACTTTTGCCCACCCTCATAGTGGTCAAAGAATCAGTATTTCTCAATATATCACTTGTACCACTGACCATGTGATCTACTTAATTACGTGCCCGTGTGGACTATCCTATGTGGGTAAGACGGACCGTACCCTCAGGGATCGGATACGGGGTCATCGATCTACAATTACAACCGCATTTCGGGACAATTATAGCGATAAGCCGGTGGCGAAACATTTTCTTGCTCTAGGACATCGACTACCAACTCTCCGTTTTACAGCCATTGATCATATTCCCCCCTTACCTAGAGGGGGAGATAGATCCAAGATACTTTTACAGAAGGAGGCACGATGGATACATCGTTTGGACACAGTAGCACCTAAGGGGCTCAATGAAAACATTGTATACTCTATGTTCCTTTAATCCATTTTCATTCATATATATATTCTGCCCTATATAATTTTTGGAGAATATACACTCCGTTGCTTGTGGACCCTTTAAGACAAGATATAATATTTAAATTCCCTAAACAACTTTGGATTTATTAGAGATAGTATCTCATACTTTATGAATTTACTCTTTGACCGTGCAGCACTTTTCATACAAAAATCTTTTGCTTTGATAATCAGATTCTATAATATATTTATGCCTCCAAAGCCCTTAGAACTTATAGATTAATACTAATTGATATTATATTGATAATAATTATGCTATACTGCTATTTTCTCCATGGCTAATATTTATGTTTTTAAGATGCAATTTTTTTGTTTCAGTATATATAGCTCTTTTCACTTTGGGCACTAGTCACTTTATCACAGCTGTCTTTGATGTATTTTGAACAGGCACTTATATTTTTTATCTTTGCACTGGCACTTTTACTGAATGATTCTACATACACTGCAGATACTGGCTATATATATATATATATATATATATAATGGTTAAATAGCCACTTATATTTCAGCACCTACTCGGTTTTTGAAACCAATTCTTGATATGTGTATTGGTTTCCTAGTAACCACGTTCACAGCTAATAGTTGAACACGTAATTTCGTTCACGTTACGTCACTTCCGGTTTTTACTTCCGGGTTCGGACGGGAGGGATGAGGGAACTGTAACACAATTGGTGAGTACATTTTATGTTTTCCTATATATTTGTAGGTTTTATGTTTACATATTGATCCTGAGGAAGACCCTATTGGGTCGAAACGTCGATCAAGTCATTTGTAAACCTTATATGGATTAAAATACACTATATTTCTTCTAAAAAGACCTCTGAGTGCATCCTTTTTCAACTATACTATTTATCAGCATAGGTCTGCACCGGGGCACAGTGACTATTACTTCTTTGAAGCAAGGGTGAGTGCCATTATTATGTTTTATATATATATATATATATATATATGTATATGTGCTTGTCACACCTCAAACCAACAACTGATATAGTTACCTTGCCTGGGTGCAAAACCCACATTGCATATGTAACAAACAAAAGAAGGGGTGCACTCCATGGTTTTAAAAAACAAACTTTGTGTTTAATCCAGTTTTAAATCAAATCAACTGGGTTATTTCAGTACATTCCCTTTCTGAAATAACTCAGTTCCTTAGTGAAACTGTAGGTCAAAGACAAAAAATTGAACTGTTGGTTTTTGGAAATTTTCATATTGATTGGCTGAATCCTAAAAAAAATAAATTATGTTCGCTGTTTAAGACTTTGCAGCTAATTCAATTAATTACCTCCCCAATTTGAAAAACCATAACCATAATTTTGATTGGATTATGATAAGTGTAATATGGACAAAATTTGTCAGCATTTTTATATTAAAATTCCTATGTTCTATCACACAAACAACCCCCCTTATCGACAGGGAAGAACAGCTGCTCAATGTGCCCACACACGTGACCCCACACGGTTCGAACAACAAAGGGCCCAACACCAACTGTCCTTCCTGGGATACCTGGAAGTCCAGTCCAGCACACAGAATCAACCACAAAGCAAGGCACCAGCCATGCTCCACGACCCGGAACGCCCCTCACCCAACAGTGACCCCTCCGACACCAAACCCTAGACAACAACAATGAACAAGACGACCACACAATGCTTCAGCAACACCCCAACGGCCCCACACATCTGACCGAAGCGCCCAGGCAACTAAGGGGCCCTCCAGACAACCGGAAAGGGAAGACACAATTGCCACGACTCGAACGGCAACCACACACACGCGACAGTAACCCAGAGAGAGTCATCCCGGCCAGATTGCACACCACCCTCACGACAATTGCCTCCATGACCCCACCCACCAGACTCCGAACGGACCCACTCATGGAGGACCCCAGCTTGCATCTCCCTGCTGCCTGCGAACTTCTCCTCCTTACCCTTGAGCATCAAGTTCCACCTTGCACCCTCCACATCTCAGCCCACACTTTAACAACACTGTGCATTCACCTGCAGCCGCTGTTCACGGCTAACCCTCACCACACAACCTAACCCTGTATGTAATGGACCGTTTTGCACACGAGGGGTAAAAACCATTTAGGCGATCGTCCCCCTTTCCAGAGATGCAGGCACAGCTATTGTAAAACACCAAACACACGAACCGCCAATAAGTGAATGCTCCAAACTCCCGAACGGCATTCAATATAGCACTCCAAACACACGAACAGGAACCATACGAATTGCTGCTAGCAGACGAATAGGAAAAGCATCCAAGTGGCTTACACTCCTAGCAATCAGTCTCTATCAGCGTTCAGTAAATCCCCCCAAAGACGAGACAAGGCAAGCAGTGGTCTGTTTAATGAGGGCTACCTGCCCAGTATTTATGCAGGTCTCCCACCTGGTGGACACTCCCCTAGGGGACCAAATGGGAGACAAAGGACAGACAAGCAGACAAATAGGACACACAGTCACATTATATTCCCACAATGCATCCTGGCTTCCTCCCCTCTGAGAAGTAATTCAATTATCTCCCAAGACAAAGGTGTTCGCGCAAAACTGTGTACGATTTTAGTTCCATGAATTAAGCGTCGAACACCACTGTGCATTCGTATGTTTAAAATGGCCGCAACCTCGTGTTCGGGATACGAATGGCGGCCACCCAGTATTCGTCAATTAAGCTGCGGTTAACCGCAGCTTCAGGAAGGTTAATTGCCGGCACACTCCAGCTCCCAGGTGGTCTATTCATTCGTGCGGTTGTTTGGTAGATTGAATCTACCGAACATTTGGCAGAAAAGCACGAATAAAGCTTTTCTGCAGGTGAAACAAAGTCTTTTAACATGGGGCCATAGTCCAAAGGCAGCAGACGAGCAACCAGGCTTCTCCAATGCAATGTGGCGAGATTGCTCTCGTCACACTGTAAAACACCCACACCAAGGTAAAGTTCGATACAGCTGATATTGTTAGATATATGTTCTGCAACGCATAAAATGTACATCTGCAAAATGTAACTAGAACTGTATCCAATGCTGGCCTGTCCAGCAATGCAATCCGATCTGTCAACGCTAAATTTCACCTGTATGTAATGTCTACCACTAATACAAACCTTGAATGAAAAAAAAAAAATACCTATGTTCTAAGCTACACACAGTGAATCTCTGGGTTTAATAAATATTACTTAACTCAGCATTTGTAATCCAAGTAATAAGTATGTTTTTAATCAGATGAGGAAGTATTAGAAAGGAATGCTTTTCAGTTTAAGTTAAGTGATAAAATAATAAAGTCACGTTAAATGCTTAAAAAAATATTCCTTTCCATTTCATAGTTATTGACTATATACAAATAGAAAAAAAGAATAATTCAGAAGGCCTCAATAAACAAGAAAAAATAGCAGATGCTCACCAAAATGCTACTGCTGGCCAGGCAGCATAGAGAGGTCTCTGTTTGAAGAAAACACTGTGCTGGTTACCAGGCTGACTTTTTGGCTGTTTGACTTAAATAAAAAATAACCCATTTAGTACTGATCCACTGTGATCGGTAATTTTACTTTCATTTTTGGTTGGGTTTTTGGGGTTTTGTGGGAGGAAGTGGGAACGGAGGGGTAGGTAGTGTGTGTTAGGCTAGTTTTCTGTCATTTGGTTTCTATTTTGTTTCTCTCAGGATGGATACCATACTCTCTAAAAAGCAACTAAGGCCCAGAAAATAATTTCTTTAAATTTCCAGATAAGAATACTGAAATTGGTAAGTTCTGTATTTGATCATGTAACTTTATGATCCCCATAAAATGTGTACATGAGGATACTGTTGTACTCGTAAGACATCTCTGAACTATGTATGTTCTAGTGCAGTAAAATATATAATGACAATGATATCATTAGTGAAAGTGCAGTTTTTTGAGAACTGTACACTAAATTTGGACAGGGTTTGTGACTAAGTGGCTACTACAAAAGACTGTACATAACTAGAGTTGAGCGAACCCAGACTGTAAAGTTCGGGTTCGTACCGAACATTACGTTTTTTGGACCCCGGACCTGAACACGGACATATCACTGTATGTTCGGGTTGGAGTTCGGCGATTTAATGGTGCGTTTTGAAAGGCTGCAGGGCAGCCAATCAACAAGCGTTTGACTCGTGTGCCCTTAGAAGCAATCACAGCCATGCCTACTAATAGCATGGCTGTGATTGGCCAGTGCAGCATTTGACCCAGGCTCTATATATAAGTTGGAGTCGCATAGCACTGCACGCACATGAGGTCTTATTAGTGTAGGGAGAGGATGCTGCATCTGTGAAGGACAGCTTAGGAAAGATTTCGGCAAACTAGTACATTAGTGGGGTGCACTTCATATCTGAGAGTCAAATAGAAGCGTCAAATACTGCGGTTACATCAGAGTTTTAAAAAGTCAATTAAATAGAAGCGTCAAATACCGTGGTTACATCGGATTTTTAAAAAGTCAATTTTTTGGGTGCTAAACTGCTAAATAGTAAATATGATGCGTGCTCTTCATATCTGAGAGTCAAATAGAAGCGTCAAATACTGCTGTCACATTGCAGATTTAAAACTTAAAATTTTTTGGGTGCTAAACTGCTAAATAGTACTTTAGTGGGGTGCACTTCATATCTGAGAGTAAAATAGAAGCGTCAAATACTGCGGTTACAGCGCAATTGTAAACATTCTAATTGTTTTGCTGCTAAACTGCTAAATAGTACATTTTGGGCATGCTCTTCATACCTGAAAGTCAAATAGAAGCGTCAAATACTGCGGTTACAGTGCAATTGTAAACATTCTTATTTTCTGGGTGCTTATCTGCTATATAGTAAATTAGTGGGGTGCACTTCATATCTGAGAGTCAAATAGAAGCATCAAATAGTGCGGTTGCAGCGCAATTGTAAACAATCTAATTGTTTTGGTGCTAAACTGCTAAATAGTACATTTGCGGCCTGCACTTCATATCTGAGAGTCAAATAGAAGCGTCAAATAGTGCACTTACAGTGCAGTTGTAAACATTCTAATTGTTTTGATGCTAAACTGCTAAATAGTACATTTTGGGCGTGCTCTTCATACCTGAGAGTCAAATAGGAGCCTCAAATACTGCGGTTACAGCACAATTGTAAACATTCTTATTTTTTGGGTGCTAATCTGCTAAATAGTATATTAGTGGGGTTCACTTCATATCTGAGAGTCAAATAGAAGCGTCAAATACTGCAGTTACAGCGCAATTGTAAACATTCTAATTGTTTTGGTGCTAAACTGCTAAATAGTACATTTTGGGCGTACTCTTCATACCTGAGAGTCAAATAGAAGCGTGAAGTACAGCGGTTACAGCGCAATTGTAAAAATTCTAATTGTTTTGGTGCTAAACTGCAAAATAGTACATTTGCAGCCTGCACTTCATATCTGAGAGTCAAATAGAAGCGTCAAATAGTGCCCTTACAGGGCAATTGTAAACATTCTAATTGTTTTGCTGCTAAACTGCTAAATAGTACATTTTGGGCGTGCTCTTCATATCTGAGAGCCAAATAGAAGCATCAAATAGTGTGGTTACCATTCGATACCGTAAACCAATCAGACTTAATCCCCCCCCCGACAATCCTACTAGATGGTAAGGAATAGCAGGCCAGAATTGCTGACATAATGTGCTCTGCAAACCCAAAAGCTTTAAGAGTTGCTTTCATGAAATTCCAACCAACCCTATCAAAAGCCTTTTCTCCATCTAAGGCCATCGTTAAAAAAGGAATTTTGTTCATAAGAATCTTAAAAAATATATTTAGTATCTTCCTAATATGATTAGAGGACGTCCTACCTGGTATAAAGCCTACCTGATCTTCTGAGATCAGGGAGGAGATTATATTCTTAATTCTTTTAGCGATGATAGAAGCGTAGATTTTATAATCATTATTTAATAAAGCTATTGGGCGATAGTTAGTAATTTCTTCTGAATTTTTATTATTTTTTAAAATAGGTAAGATATTTGCAGCCAGCATTTCTTTAGGTAGTTTACCTGTAATCATCGCCAAATTATAACAATCTACCATTCTCTGAATCAACCTATCCTTATATGTTTTTAAAAAGGAATCTGTAAATCCGTCTGGGCCCGGTGCTTTATTTTTTTTCATATCATCAATAGCGTCAAGAACTTCTTGAAAAGAAATCTCTGTATTCAATTGTTCTAATTGAGAATCATCTAGCCTGGGTAGGTGAATGTTCAAAAAATATCTATCCATCTCCTCTTGGGAAGATGTGGCTGGTAGATTATACAGTTTATAATAATAATTTCTAAATGCTTCTCCAATTTTTTTAGGGTCTAGTATTATTTCATTTTCCTGTTTTATTTTTGTAATTAATTAGTTTTTTTGTAGATTTTTAACTTTATTGGTGAGTAATTTATCGGCCTTATTTCCCCTATAGTAATAATTTATTTTCATATATTGGAGGTTTCTATTTATTTTAAAAATCTAAATTTCATTTATTTTATTTTCTATTATCCTAATTTGATTCGAGATAATTCTTGTAGGTGACATAATGTTTTTTTTATAGCATTCACTTAATTCAATATATAAACTTGAGAGGGATTCCTGTCGATTTTTCCTAGTCTCAGCTTCTAGACTAATAAGGTGGCCCCTTATAACACTTTTAAATGCACACCACTTTATAACTGAGGACACTTCATTATTATCGTTATCCTGCCAGTACAGGTCTATCGCCTTTGCAATCTGTTCCCTATTAGTTTTAGAAATTAATAGCTTGTCATTTAATTTCCAATCTGACCTATGCTTTAAAAAATTATTCTTTAATTGTATTTTCACCATATTATGATCAGACCATGTTACCGTAATTATATTCGAAGATTTCACGTTTTCTATCAGATTTCGATCTCCGAATATAAAGTCAATTCTTGAATAACAACAATGAGTCTTACTAAAACATGTGAAATCTTTCTCTGTAGGGTGAAAAGTCCTCCAGCAATCAAGAAGGGCTTCACTTTGTATTATATTCCTAATTTTTTTTGCCTGATTAAAGACATTCCTCGAGGAGATTTTAGACTTTTCGGACTGTC